AAAAAAAAAAAAAAAAAAAAAAAAAAAAAAAAAAAGCTTTACAGTTTGTTACAAAAGTTGGCTTTTTTGGTGATGCTCAGAAAGAATTGTAAGGCTTAATAAAGTTCTAAATAAGACTATTAAGATTATTATGAAAGGCAGATAAGCAGTGTGTGAAAAAGTATTGCGAGAGTCAGAATTACGCCAAGCAGAAACTTGAAGAAGCGTTATACAATGTATTGCTAAAATTGATAAAATTTGGGTGACTCTGAGTGGCGGAGACTCTGTTTTAACCAAAATTTTATTAATTTTAGATATTTTCCGGCTTACTTTTACCAAATGTATCACAACTCTCGAAACCAAAAAAATACCACCTTGCAATCTTTATATTTTGTACAACAATTATTTCTTTAAAAAATATGAAAATTGAAATAGCGCTTTTCAAGAAAAAGCGTTCTGAATTCTTGTTTTTATCTCAATCTGAAAGAAAATTTGCAAGCGCAAAAACATCATTTTTCTAAATCTGCTGCAGGATCGTTTTCACACTAAGTGAAAATGAGGAAAATTTGTTGCGAACTGAAAAAAATAAAATTTTTCAACGGCGTTCATGTTGAGAGTGAACTGCGCTTCCTCTTGCGCTTTAGGACGGTCTAACTTTACCACCAACGCACTTTTTAAAATAAACTCTTTTGATTTCAAAATTCGTCATCAAATGCTGCAAGCAGGCAAAAAACGCAAAAAACCTGTAAGGTAGAAAGTCAAACGTGCGCGATTTTGCATAAAATAGCCTACATATATATATTTAAAGATAAGCGTGTTTATAAGTACATAATTTTTTGAGTCTAGTCATAGTTAGAATCTTTTTCTCTCGGAAGAACAATGTAAATAGGGCTACATAAATATGTAATTGCCAGTAGCATACAGTTGCACTGACGAAGTCATAAAAGTTAGGTGGCAATTGCACCAAAAAGCAAGTTTTCAGCCTACTTTCTTTACTTCAAAAAACACAAAAGGAAAATGATGTTACGTTTTTATAAATTGTAAGTTCATTTTGAGTCGGTTCAGACAAAAATTATAAACCTTCTTTAATGTCACGGTTAGATCTTGAAAACATCAGTTGTAGAAATCTTACCACTTTTCAAATTCTAAATCAGATGGATAAGGAAGACAAACTGGGAAAAACGACCTTCACATTTTTTCTTTATTTTCTTTCTTAATCTTTTTTACAACAGCTTTGATGAACAAAATTTCTTAGAAATAGACTACTGTAATAAAAACTTGCACTTTAGTCTCTTTGTAGATGACGACTGCGATTAGGTGAGATATTCTTTGTAGTCACAGCGATTAATGACAACGAGAAGTGTTATTGTTAAACGTTGCCGTATTTGAATAATTTTGCGATCAAAACTTAAACCAGCGTTAACCAATACAAGCGGGTAATATTTTGCAAAATATAAGCCAGTATTTGCTCTCTACAAGTCGGCTAAAAAGTGACTTTCAAAACTAGCAGTTTAGCAGCTGTCTAGATTTTTTTAACTATCTGGTATTATTTACATTTTACAACCTGAAGCGATTTTTCCATTTCCACTCTAAAGTTAATTCAAACAGTTTTGCTCAGTTAAAATCAATAAATTCTATTTTT